TGAGGAAGAAGCCAAAGATGTAGATATATTCAGAAGTGAGCGATAAAACTCCAAACATTAGATGTTAGACATTAGATTCTTCCTACAGAGACTTCGGTAGATGTTAGCTCCAGTGTCACCAAAGTAAAGTAATTTCTAGGACCAGAGAGTCAGATTTAGATACTCTTACAACTTTCTGGTATTTCCTTACTTCTGCTAGAATTAAATAAAATCCATGTCCTGGTCTCAGAAATTGTGTTTGACAATCCTAAAATGCCCCAAACCAGAGGTGATTTGGGATTTTGTGGCTCTCATCTGCAGAGGCTGTTTCAAATGACTACATCCAGCCTTCCTGTCTGCCTGGTAGAAGTAACTTAGAGAAACACACCAGACTCTACAATATGTCGTAAACATACTTCACATGGAGTGCCTGCTCACTGATGGAAGAGATGGAAGAAGTAACACACTTGAGCTTTGACTATGAGGTAACACAGTTAGTGTTCTCAAAGGAATTTGGATGTCAGCTTTCCACAGATTTCGTATATGTTTCAAAATCTGTTCTTTGTCACTCTGCACAACAGCCATTTCCATACCTCATAGCTGTGTTGGGCAGAGATGTACCTGCTAATGTCCCCAGTCCCCAGCTGTGGATGCTAAGGTAAGTGGACAACAATGTGCTGTCTGATGTGCTCTTCTTACACACCCTTCCCTAAAGACACTTGATTGGTTTCTTTTAATTTATTTTTCATGTTATTTACTGGTTCAAATGGAAGAAAGTTGCCACTGACAAGCTAATCACCAGATTCTACAGCCTCTCCTTGGCTAGTGCTCAACCTTTCCCACCCGGCCAGTATTCTCCCTACAGCCCCACTGGCTCGTGCTTCTCCTCCCATACCACTGCCAGAGACTACAAGTTCTGACCCAACATAGCACTTGTTAGTTTCTTAAAACAACCAGATTAAAGACTGAATGCCTTCAGACAGTTCTGGCTTCTCTTGAGTCATAAACATATATACCTACACACCAGTATATATAAGAAACCTAAAAAACTAATTAGTGTTCCTTAACTGTCCACTGAGATACCCCAAGACACCCTACTTTTCAAATAGTGCTGAAATCCTCGAGTCAGGCAATGTTAAGGTTTCTGAACTGAAACACCCTGAGATGTTTTAGAGAATTGGGGCTGTTTAGTTTGCTGAAAGGAAGGCTCTGTGTGACCTTTCTATACTTAAAGGGGGATTATAAGGAAGACAGAGACAGACTTTTTACAAGGGCCTGTAGTTATAGGACAAGGGGGGTTAAATGGTTTTTAAATAAAATGGTCAAATTTAAAACAATGGTTTTTAAATAAAAGAGGATGGATTTAGATTTCATACAAGGAAGAAATTCCCTGTATGTGAGAATGATGAAACACGGGCACAGGTTGCCCAGAGAAGCTGTGGGCTGCCTCATTCCTGGAACTGTTCAAGGCCAGGTTGGATGGAGCTTTGAGCTGGTCTAGTGAAAGGTGTCCCTGCCCATGGCACGGGGTTGGAACTAGATGATCTTTAAGGTGCCTTCTAATCCAAAGCATTCTAGGAGTCTATGAAACAGAGACATTCACATCCTAGTTAATTTGGGTAATTTTAGGTAAAGAGTCTTCTAGACTTAACATATATAAAAATGAAAAGGTTCAAGACTGAAAAGTCTATTTTTCCTTAAAATTACCTGCTGATATTATAAGTACGATAAAAATTGGGGCTTTAAATGTTCTAAATTATTAGAAGAAAACCAAACAATGGCTTGTAATGCACCTAATACAAAACTAAAAGCCCTAAAAGATGCCCACATATTTATATACATATTAGTTGGTTCCAGCCTTCATTTGAAAGTTTAGTTGGATATTTTTGTGGAAGTTTAAAAATAATATCATGGACAATATTACCTTCCTGGAATGAAAAAAACTTAGATAAAGAATAGCCTACTGTATCTTCAAAAAGTAGCACGTTTCTTAAGTTCTGTGTGCATTATATTTGCAATTTACATGGGGATTTGTAACAGCAGTGCTGCTCCCTGGGTGTTACTTACTTTGGATGGACTTCTCTAAGGGTGAGTTTACACAGCTGTGGAAGGAAAACCTAGCCACAATCAATTAAAAAGTGCAACACAAATCCTTTGGACAGCATTCTCAGGCTGTCCTGCTGTTGAGACAGCTACTATTTTCCAAGAATGAGTACTCTAACTGTATTAAACTTAGTCCTAACCAAAATAAGCTTTTACTAATTTTCACCATTTAAGGAACATAAAGACCTGCCTTTGTCATTTAAACTTTAAGCTGACTAAGCCTCATAGAAACAGAACGTTAAGGAACTAAAGCAATTAATTCCATTTACAGAGGTCAGAAGAGTCTCTAGGTTTTAGACATGATGGGCTTGTATGGTCTGTGCTTCTTATTCACGTGAACTCTCAGATTATCGTTTGTTAGGTGGCAAAATAAGTCACCTTTGTTTTCCTCTTGTCAGCAGAGTTTAGCTGAGCTGATCCTAACAGGTCACCACAGTGCTGGCATTACCTGCACTTCTGATTACAGAACAACTAGAATAAGCAGGCAAATGAGACCCCAGATGCCCTGTCTTTGTGTGGGACATATTTATAAGCAACTTGCTGAATCCTACACACAAAGAAAGCCTCAGGGAATGTAGTGTGTCTACAAGCCAATGCAGAAAGCACTGAGAAAAAAAAAAGAGGATAAATAAGCAGGCAGCTGAAAAGCCTGAAGTCTAACTAACTCACCAGCACATCAATAATACAATAATGTCATCAACCCACTGTGGCCTCTGAACAATGCTTTTTCTGTTCTTCAGCTAATTAGTAAAAGAAGAGATTAAAGTCTTTAATCTCACTTGCTTTCTCTTTCTTCCCTCTTTTTACCTGGAGGATGTGCATGTATGTGTACATATGTATTTTGTACATGAACAAAGAGGAAGTACATACATTAAGATGTGGAAAACACGACGTGGAATGTGAGTTTGGCTTTATTTCCAACAAGAGGGTCATCTACATGATTTCACATTTCCATGTACTGCGACTGCGAGGAGTCAGATGCATGTCTATGTTATAGGGTGGGAGGGGAGGGGGGAAGCTGAACTGAGGATATGAATTTTAATCAGTTTCCTGAATGAATACGACACTGTATTTCCCCCTACTCTCCTCAGGATGACAATTCAGAGGAGATAACCTTCTCCTTTGAAAAACTCTGAAGGGAAAGTTTGTTTTTACCATAACAAATGCAACAAAAGAAGAGGGAAGCTGGGAAAGGGAAGGGGGGGGCGGACAAATTAAATGTCAAACTTTCTCTCCTTACTTGGAGATAACAGCATACTAGGAAACCTTCTTAGAAGCTTAACATAAATGCAGTTAAGCTGTTGCCAGCTGCAGTAAACCTCTCTCTCACCTTTCTTTCTCTCTTTCAAGATATCTTTGAATGCCTTCGCCTTCATCATAAATCAGACCTTTGAGCAATTATCACTCCAGCCGGATGGCAGCAGCCTGAGTGGCCACTGCTATTCCACTGCTGTAATCTGCACTTTGTCAGGTTACACTACCCTTGATGAAATTTCACATTTCTTTGCCAATGAGCGTTACCTCTCCATTTACGACTCATTGTCTTTGCAGCAGAGAGCTGTGAATCTCACTCCTCTCCTTGTAATTTGTTTAAGCAGCATGGACCATTCGGCAGGGCTGAGCACCTTCAGCACCCCACCGGGGAGTCTCAGAGCATCCCAATAGGATGGGGTTGTGCTGCTGCCTCAAATACTTACCCCGAGGGCATCCCTCAGCGCCTCTGAGAGAGACCGAACAGAGACACCTTCCACTGGCCTCTGAAGAGGCCACCATCCGTACACGGTGCTGATAACACTGTCACAACTTCCAAGGGAACTCTGCATTTTTGCCATTCCCTTTCCCATCCACGCAGCCCTTGGGTGACAGGTTCTTGACAGGTTCCCTCAGCCCCTAGGCTGCACCTTGCCGCCCTCACTGAGAAGGGGGGCTCTTTGGCGAGTCTTTCGGGCAGGAGTTAATAAAACAAAAAAGGCAAACAACCCCAAAATTTCACACCATCAAAAGGGACAGGGGTCCAACCTTCAACTCAGGCAAAGTTTCTGAGTGCTGCCCAGGTACCACATGGGGTGGCGCGTCCCTCTTCGCAACACCCAGCAACACCCACGCAGCAGCACGGACCTCCCCCCCAGTGCTGCATTTTTCAACCTTTACGAGGCGATTTTCAGCCCCCCCCCCCCCCCCCCAAATTATTTATTTTTAAACAGGCCCCCCGAAACAAACCAACCCAGAGAGCACACCCTCTCCCACAACCAACCTACATCCCCGCGCACGGCCGTCAAGACAGGCACGAAAAAGTAGGCAGAGAGAACGAGAGAGAGAGAGAGAGTCACTCACCGTTGGCGGCGACACAGAGGTTTCCAGAGCCACTTTGAACTAAGAATGACTGAGGGACGAACTCTTCCTCAGAGTCCGAGCCCGCGGCCGCCCGGGCCGCGCCGTCGCCCAGCGACCGCCCCGGGCCCTCATTGGCCGGCGGCGAGGGGAGAGGGGAGGGGGACTGCGAGCGGGGGGTGGAGGAGGCGGACGAACAGGGCAGGGGAGGACCTGCGGGCCACAGACACACACACACACACAGAGAAGGGGAGGGGGGGGAGAAACACAGAAAGAAATAAAATGAACAAAAAAACACGGCAAAACACAGACAGAGAGACAATAAAAGTCGAGCCGGGGCACGAGGGAAGGCCGCCCCCCACCCCGACCCCCCTCGTCCCCCCGCCGCCTGCCCCAGCGGGGCAGCCCTGCCTGAGGGGCGGCCGACTGCACGTACCTGACCACATCACCTGCTGCCCCCCGGGCTGGAGCTTAAAACTCCTATCCACACTTTAAAAGTTGTATCCATCAGGGGTTTTTGGTTGGTTGGTTGGTTGGTTTGGTTTGGTTTGGTTTGTTTAGTTTTTTGTTTTGGTTTCCGTTTGTTTGTTTGTTTTGTTGTTGTTATTGTTTTGGTTTGCTTGGGTTTTTTTAAGGTTTTGGAGTTGCAGAGAGCCCCTGGTGTGTGAGATACTTTGTGCCATGACGTGGGCTCTCCCTGTCAGTGAGGCCAGGTGTTGAAGCCGGGCTGCATCGTACTAAAGGGAAACCCTCGCCCAACGAGGTAAATTATTTCAGATTCCATGTGAAAAGTGTAGGGTCCTTTTAGGGATTGGTTTAACCATTCTTTTATCGAGCTTATAAAGCAAACAGCCTAAGACCTCCATCATACAGGCAGGAGGTGGAGGACAGGTCTGTGTATTGCTGTGTAGTGTAGAAGCACATTAGCAAACCACCACACTGATACAGGGCAGAAGCATAGCTCAGAGCGGCGTCATTTGATTGATTAAATGATGAAAAACACAGCAAATCAGGTTCTAAGATTATACTTTACATAGAGCTGTGCCTGACTGAAGAAGAACTACTGACTGCAAGGAAATTCAATCAGGTACATGTCGGTTAAGTACATCCAATTGGAAAAGCATACTGTAAGCAATTAATGGTTATCAGGGTCTTATTCCAATCAGAATTTTAAACAAAACTGGGAAGGCAGTTTTTCACCAAACTGGTGAAAAATCCATCAGGCAAACGTGGAGGTCAGATATGTGCGGTACATCAATAAAAACAGGGGGAATATGAACACAGACATATAATACAGGACAATGCATTTAAACATGGGCTTTTCCCCTTGCTGAAAGTCATAATGATTAATCTCCCACATTTTCCCAAATACTGAAATGTTATCATGCAAAATCCGTCAAAATAAAAGAACGGTCAGCAGAAGAAAACCAGCAAACTTAAACAAAAAATCTGTTTCTAAAAAAAAACATTTTTAACATAACATGGCACACTACATAGTTGTACAATATTTCTTACTAAACATAACATGAACACTTTAGAGAAGGACACAAACCCAAAACAATGAAGTGGGTTTAACATTTAAATCCCCCAAAGCTGGTTCTGCTTCTGGTTCTACCTCGGTCATCATTTTTTCTCATCGTAAGCCCTTGGATGTCACCTCCTTGACATATGCTGATCTTATAAATTGCTAATTATAATCAGAGAAGAAATTTTGGCATCAGAGGCAAAGCCTGAGAACCAGGGAGAATATAGGACTATACCTATATGTGCTTGAAGAGACTTGTCACCCAAAGGAGAAAAGCCAGACTTGGTGGAGAGCCTACACTGCCTCATGTGCAGTATGCAGACCAAGGACTGAAATTGTGAGCCCTGTGTGTTTTGTTATGATCAACAGTGGAGTCGTCTGGATCTCCTTCCTTCTGACAAGTCTCCAGACAGAGAAGTTCCTGCTTTAGGAATGCAGCTTTTAGGGAATCTGCAGCCCACTTCACACTCCCTGACCCTTTTTATGGTGCCAAGGCTGTAATCTTCCCATTGTGCTAACTACTGGTAAAAACTGGAGAGAGACAGGGAAAAAAGGGAGCACGTGCAATTGGATGAGCACTGCTTTCCCTGTTACAGTCCCTGACATGCAAACTGAGATCCAGCTCTAACTCTGATCTGCTCTTGAAAGAGCAAAGTCTGCTCTGCGTCATCCTCTTTGTTGCAATAGAGATTTGATGAGCCCTGACATGTAACAAAGTTTAAATCAGGACTTTGATTTGCTATGCTTTCATTACAAAACGGGGCGACATGTATTTCTAATCCTGTGTAGTCAGAGGCTGAATTCTAGTGTGATGATGAGTGAAATAGAAAGAAAGTGTTAAATCAGTGCCTTCCATACAGTTTTTCAGTGTACTTTGTTAAGAGGAAGCACATTTTTCTAGCCATTAAGAAAAACAAACTAGATTTAAAAAATTGTTTCAGTCCTCTGACTCATTTATGCAAAGATCAGTAAAAATGCATTAAAAGGAAGTTCATGGTGTCACTACCCGACAAAAAAAAAAAAAAAAAAGTGTGGTAAATTACAGTAGAGGCCCAATGCTCTCCCTGTGTTTTGTTCAGGCAGCATGCTTGGCATAACTGTACATGAATTCTCTAGTTCGAACATAAAGAGCAGGAGCAGAATGAGCTGAATTTGGAATTGTAACCCTAAAAGCCAAATGTCAGCTTTTGTCAATCCACATCAGAAAGTTTCTGCCATTTCCACATGGTTGCAGGTTGTTGGGGTTTTTTTGGTATGAGCTTTCCCAGTTTCCCAGTATTACAGTTTTGGCAATGATAAAAGAAAAATAAATATGAATAAAAACATAACCAAAACCTCTTCAATTACAGCTTTGGATTTTAACCAACTGCACCACTGCAGAGTGCACACGAGAAGATCTCGTGGGTTTTCACGGTCATTACATGCACTTCCAGCAGGGAATGAGCTGACCTTTACAAGGGAAGGTTCCCTAGGAACTGTGCATACTAACCACGTTACTGAGGGCTGCGCTGCTCTGAAGAGCACTGGTGCATACCACTGTGCTCCCTGGAAGATTCCCTTTTGCCACAAACGATGGGGTGGATACAACAGGAGATTTTACCAGCTGCCGGGTGAAAGATGGGCGCTAATCAGCTCTGCTGACAACAACCAATGAAAATGGAAGGGAAGCAAAGGATACCTCCCTTTTTAACAATTCAACAACTCTGTTTGTAAGCATGTGTTAAGTTGTGGATCCTTTAAGAGAATTGCCTCCTTTTTTTCATACTTGGGCAGAAAACCAAGAATTAAATCTGACCTTTTCACAAAAATTAAACTGAGAGAGAGATGAAAGCTACAAGTTTGTATCCTTCTCAGACAAGAATTTCATTGGATTTACTGCAACTGCAGGCCCAAGTAAAACAAGCAGGATTTGGCCTGTAAACTTTCATTCCAGCTGCCAGAGTAAAATTTCTAATTGATTAGTACAAAATAAATTCGAAGCAACACTGTGTTGCTATGGAACCTGAGCAAGTAGAAAAAGTTTCTTTGCAGTATGTGCTGTTTCTCCTTCAAAAATAAAAAACAGAAGGACTAGATAACACATTCATTATGCAGAGTCTTGCAGTTTGGAAGCTAACTCAAAGAAAAACAAAACAGATTCCAAGTATGGGCCCCTTGGCATCAATTTGTAACAATCTTATATATCTGCTTGCAGTGAACAGTCAAAACTGTGTTCTTTGGACTTGAGGCAGGAATAATAGACATTGTATGTCACTGTATGACTGTATGTTGCTTGCACATATTTAGAGGAAAACAGAACAGAACCTTCTATTTTATCTATGTGCCAGTACTTCAGACTAAAATTAAAAAAAAGATCAGGGGAAGGTACGGTGCAGTCTCTGTAATTTATGAAAGTACTTAGGAAACACAAACTTTAGAAATAGGTTAGTACAAAGAATCTGTTTCCCAGCTTAACCAAGGAATTATACAATATTCAGGTATCTGCTTTAAATATAGGGAAGAGACAACCAGAGCAGACCCTAAACAGTTAGGGGAAAGTAAGACAAACAGTAAACATGCCTTCATTTTATACTGCACATTTGGCTGTAATATTTCAGAATTGCTAGAATTACTCTGTCTCTCACAGGATTTGGCCTTCAGAGATCAAGAGCTGATTTAAAACAGGTGTATTCATGCTAGTGTGAATAGAAGAGCTGCCAGAAATACAGAACATTCAAGGAGATACTTTTAAAGTAAATTGTTTCATGGACTATATTCAGTGGATTATACTCATATGTTTATAATTTGTCCCCAAAGAGGTGAAAAAGAGTAGATATACAAACGCTGACTTTTCACAGAACTGAAATGACAAAGCAACAGGATTTAATAGCATTCAATATACACAGAATGGTATTATCTGCAATCAATAAATCAGTAATATCAGCTTTTTTCCCCTAATAACTTCTATCAAGCTTCATTCAAGAACCTTTAAGAGCTTTGCAAGCAATGGGTATGTAAACTTTGAAATACTGTTTCAGATCTGTTGGGATCTGTTGTCAGATTGGCTTCTACAATGGTCAGAGGGCTGGAACACTTCTCCTATGAAGACCGACTGAGAGAGTTTTGGCTGTTAAGCAGGGAGAAGGCTCTGCAGAGACCTTCTAGCAGCCTTCCAGTCCTTAAGGGAGACTTTTAGAAAAGAGGGACAACGACTTTTTACACAAGCAGATAGTGATAGGACAAGAGGGAACAGTCTTAAACTAAAGGAGGAGCAATTTAGATTGGACACTGGGAAGAAATTCTTTGCTGTGTGGGTGGTGAGGCATTGGCACTGGTTTCTCAGAGAAGCTGTGACTGCCCCATCCCTGGACACAGTCGAGGCGAGGTTGGATGGGGCTTTGAGCAACCTGGTCTAGTGGAAGGTCACCCTGTGGGGCATTGAAACTAGATGTTCTTTAAAGTCCCTTCCAACCCAAATCATTCTATGATTCTATGAATTAGATTTTCTAGGAAGCAGACTTACACTTTTGAAAGATAAGGAAACTGAAGCACAGAGATGTGAAATAATTTGACTCAAAATTCTGTCATTTCTTGCATACTATATCTCTAGCCACTGAAATAGTCTAAAAGCCTGTTTGTGACATTCAAAATATTTTAAATTAGCAAAATTCCCACCAGAAAGGAACGACGGGTGTGGGCAGAAGTGCTGTCACTGTGATTTCCTCAGTTCAACAACTGCAGTAGTTCTCACATAAGAACTTTCGCATTGTCATATCACTGACAATGCCTAGCCTTTGTACTACCTCAAAATAGGAAAGTTTCTAGGATGGTGCTGTTGCACCAATGTTGGTAAGCACCATTACAAACAAAAGACATCTCAATACAGCTCTGGCCTTTAAAACATGGCTGTGCGCTGTGGGTTCACGTGAAGGCTGTGTAAATGGCAGCAGAATGTATTCTGTAGTATGCTGGCTGGGTGTATTATCCTGTCAAAGGAAAGAGAGTGTAAACAAATGAAGGTTTTTTTATGTCTTCCCCTCACTTTGCACAGGAGTTTTGAGTGATTTTTATTGACATCGAAACAAAATCTTATTGATCAATATTAAAACTGTAGCAAGCCTTGTGCTGGAGAAAACCATGACCTGCCTAAACAATGCCTAAGTACCTCTGTCTGATAAAAGAAATAAATTAATAAATTAGTCTAAAACTCAGGCAGTTTCATCTCATACCATATCTGACTGCTTAAAACCCCACAAACATGAAGCAGTCCTGTAGAGCTGAGATCTTGTGTGAGAGCTGTATTTGCAAAGTGGCAAGCACAGTGGGCACCAGGACATCTGTGGATTGCTGACACACGGGATGAGGTGGAAAGGGCAGTGCCCTGCCTGCACAGCAGTGTTTGGTTCCCTGCAGAATATAAAAGGCGGTAATTTGCTCCGCTAGTATTTCAGGGCATCAGAGATCCTGCTGGATTGAGGAGGGGAGTTGGAGAATATCTGCCATTTTTCTTTTCAAGGTGAAGGGGAGTGTAAATGAAGATGAGCCCTGGTTGTCATATGCTAGAACACTGGTTTAGCATCCACTCCCTCAGAGGTGGAGAAAGAAGGAATTTTCCTAAGGGACAAAGAGCATTCATACCTTGCTCATGGCAGCATATCAAGCCTTTCCAGTGGACAGCAAAATACACACCCCTGGAAAAAAAGCAAGCTGAACTAGTTGTCTGGAAAAACGTGTCAGTGAATCATAGGAGTAAGGAATTGTTGCACAGATTTATTGCTGCTCTTTAACAATAGGTGGTCACAACATTCTTAGTTCAACAGGGAATATATATCTTGTGTTTAGAATTGATTAAAAAAGCAGTCTTAGAAAACTACTCTTAGTTATTTATGTCTTGAATTTCCACCTGCACTTATGTTTATTTTATTTAATTTAATTTTGTGGTTTTGATTTATAGTTATAAAGCCAGAGGGAAAAATGAATGAAACAAAGGGGACAAATGAATATCATCTTAACAGGAAAAACCTGGGCAGCTGCCACGTCACCAAAATTAAGAAACGAGTAGTTGTGCTTTGAAAATGAGAAATAATCATATGCCCTGTATGAAAACTGGCATACTGGGGAAAAAAGGGCCATGTGAGGTTAAGAAGGACTGAATAAATTCACCTGGGCTGAAGTGTACTATGAAGAACACATGTTACATGGACTTCACCTGCCTTGTGAGTGATTCCACAATGTGTTTTTTTCCTCCCCTATGCTGTGAAGTTAGGCAATGTTTTTCTTTCTCCATTTGCTAGGACAGTGCATTTCCTATCAAGGCAGTTCACAAAGTCACTGTTTGCAGGGACTCGTGAACATTCTGTCAAGGGCAGACCTTGAGCAGGCCCTGCTTTGGGCGGAAAACATCTAGAACGGCAGCAGCTCTGTAAGGAATGATGCGATGCTGGGATATATAAAAGCACATTGGCTGAATGCCTGTTATCTGCCTCTGTCCCAGCACAGATTATGGACTGAGCATTTGGGCCTTATCCAATTATTCCCAAATGAAGCAGAAGGTAGAAAGGGACAAGAAACAACGCAGACCTCAGATCTCCTTTCCCCCAGCTCCTGAGGTTACTAACCTGACCCAAAACAGCAGAAAACAATTATCCATTGAGCAAGATGGAGAGGAGCAGGGAGGAAATTGTTCCCTTCTGAAATGCAGTTCCTCAGGGGCTTGGGGTGCTCTGGAGCAGCACAGCCGCACTTATAATTTTTTGCCAACAGAAGAAAATAATACGGCAGATTTTCAGAAAATTACACGGGCAATTGCCCGAGCCGGATACTCAGCTTGCTCATTTGTAGGCACAACAGTAGAAACAGATTGTGTAAATTAGCTACACGATTTTCTACAACATCCATCTCCAAGGCTGAAATCGTGCTGTTATTTAAAAGCACAAACAGGTAATGTAATTTCCAAGTATGTGGGAGATTTCTTGTATCTCTTTCAAAATCAAAGAAATAAGGATCAAGAAAGAAAGGCTTTCTCCTGATAGAGACAGTATAAACAATCCTAATCACCACAGAATATTTATATCATGCCTTGTGAAATATTTATGCAAGTAATTCACATCATCTAAAGTTCTAAGAAAAATGCAAGCCCCTAATTGTGGATCAGCATTACAAAAGCTTCTGCAGCTTTACTCAAATCCAACTTGTAAAAGAATAATGTAATTAGTAGGCAGTCTGATGAGCTGCCCATGAAGTGGCCTCTCTCAATCTGACTCTAATGCTCTATCTGATCCAAAACACCCAACATAAAGTATGGGGTTATCTGCAAATGATTACATGCAAATCTCCTAAAAGGTCCATTTCCCTGTATTTGAACACCAAACTGTAGGCTTTACAGAAATTGCTTTCTCTAAGCTTAATGTTAACCAAAAGGTTTACAATAGCCTTGCAAAACTTTTCCTGATAGTCTTGTTCAAGGCAAAGAACCTTGTCATGCTCCTGTTACCCCCGCAGGGAAGAATTATTAAACGTGGGCCACTGCAAGGTTTTTTCACCTCCTCCAGCAAATAAAATTTACACAAATATCTCTTTTGGTGGTTGGCAGTGATTTTCTAAAATTAACTTTTAAGTAATGCCAGAGGAGACAAAACCATACAGTGCTAGAAACCAACCAAAATTGCATGACGTTAGAGCCCACCTACCAGGGAGCAAAACTAATTCATCCTACAGCCAAAGCACCACAAAATCAACAAGTTTACCTCATGATCAGCGACACACTCTGTGACTGGCCTGGCCACTGGTGATGGGTTCTAGCACACCTTGTATGTAAAACGGTACCTGACGAGTAACTATGCTATTAAGGAATAAAATGTGTTTTTCCACCTGTTAACTAGATAACCACAAATGAGCATCTCTTGAAAGGAATGAAGGTTGCAGCTGTTAAGAGAAATCCAGGAATTGTTTGGGAAACAGAAGGGTAATATGTCACTGTTCAGCATAGTCACAGTAGGGTCTGCCTGCAGTCAGGGAAAATACAGCTTTATCTTCCAGAGGAGACTTTTTCTGTCTCCAGTTTGAGTTGGAGTGTCTCATTTGTCTTCACTGACTATACAGGG